AAATCAACACTTAATATGTTATCATAAGTGATATTTTATGATCTTTTTGTTTATTCTCAAAGGGTATGGGGAATCATGTCATCTTAATGATCTATCTGTGAAACAATCGAAGACCGGGAAATTGGTTAAGAACAAACCGGAGTGGGAAGTGAGAGTGAGGAACCCTTGTAACTGCAAATTTTACAATACAGAGTTGTCCTGTGCCGGTTTCCAGTCGGTCATACCTGTGCCAACATCGGTGTTGTCGAAATCCCGTGACTTGTGTCTCATCAACCCCGGAAAATTCATCTTTCCCAACGTAGACTTCGTTTTCACATACGTATGGGACACTAGCTTCGACCTCAAGGTCGTGGACGCTATAATCGATTGCCCTTAAATTCTATACCCGAATTGTTTCGGTTTAATTCGGTTTTGGTTCATGTTAGTTTTGTTACTTGAGGTAGCATATTAAACTGGAGATTGAGATTCATAAATGTTATTAGATTGAGATTAATAAATGTTGTCTCCTTTTGTTGTTATTGATTATTTAATACATTTTACATTCTGGTGACCAATAAACCAGGACCATAATGTAGTTGAGATTGGTGTTATTTTTGATTAAAAAAAAGAAATTCGATATATATTTAATTTAAGAGAATTTTTTTTAAAAATGCCACTTTTAACATATCATAAATGATGGTATAATAAGATATAGTAAAGACAAACACGAACGTTTCGTAATCATCTTGATATGCAAAAATGAACAATAACCACGTAGCTAGCATTAGCAAAGACATTAAACACTTTCAAAAAACGTAAAATCTCATTATAAATGAAACTGAATGCTTAGATTCCTTGACCAAGCCAAATAAGTAAGTAAGTAAATACACTGTCAAATGGTCTACGAGCAAGTTAAGAAAACAAAAAAAGAAGGAAGAAACCTTTTCCAAACATTTTACTAGATTGTGGTATATTGTGTTTCTATATTCTTATGAAATCAAGAACCGTATCTTTATACATTAATGCAACAAGAGAGTTAAGCATATGCAACGCATATATCTAAAGAAAGGCCAGAAATTCGATACGAAAGATTAAATGCAGAAACGGAAACTTCCTCAGGACGAGC